TCCGAGGTGCTGGCGCTGCCGTGACGGTCCCCCCGAAGCTATTTTCTCTCCAGGCTGAACGAGCCCCATTCCCGCTCCACCTTCTCCCCAGGCACGCGTACCCCTCACCAGGCTCGGTGGCCTTTCACCACGCTCACCCCGAACACCTTTCATTACCAGGGGCACAAAAACAGCAGCAGTATTTCAGGCACGATCTCATAATGTCGACTAAAAGGGAACAATCACTTCCCCCTTCTTCATTTCTCCCCTCGAGCTAAAGAAAAAGCAAACCGAAATCCTCATCAAGCTGTCAAACTCAGTTTCCTGAACGAATACAATTAAATCTCTATATGGCAACGTGAACGTTAGTTCTTCCCCATCAAAAGATGCTTCTCAAGCAGCCTTTGGCTGTTCCTCTCTTCCACCCCCTCCTCTCAGTTTTCCTTCCCGCCGTTGAGTGCAACAGAGGCTGCGGCTTCGCCGCCAAAAAAAGGTGTGATTTGGAGAGCGTGGTGCGACGTGAGTGGCAGAAGTGAAAAGGCAGAGAAGCAACCCTTGAAAGCCTGCCTTCTGCTGCATCGGGTGTCAGCCTTGGCAAAACCTGAGCTTCCAGAATCTTCTTGCAAAATTAAAAAAATAAAAAACAAAAAGCAATTACAGGACCTGTCAGATTCGCCTGCTGCTTTTCTTTCCCTTGTTTCTTCAGAATGAATAAAAGTTCATTTCTTTCGCTTAACAGCACAGTCAGTGCAGTCTGGGATGTACCTGCCTGCCAGTGTATGCGGATGCAGTTTTGCCATCTCAGTTTGGGGTTATCAGACAATGGCAAGATGAAACGAATATTTGGAAATCTATGTTCCCCCCTTCATTTTCCCCATTTGTGGGGTGCTTTCCTACTGCATGAGTTTGGAGGGGGTCCATTAAAATGAAAGGGAGAGGAGGGGGCTCTCCCCCCCAGGGGCTTTGCTGCTCCCAGTCCAGAGCTACAGGTGGAGCTGAGGCGAGGACTGTGGTGGAGCTGAGCAGCTGCCTGGGATCAATCATCCCATCCTCCAGCCAAGGCGTTACTGCATGCTCCTCCATTACTCTCTTTGTGTCCAAGGCAGGGCTGGGAGGACCTCCGACCTGCTGCAACACAGCAATTTCAGCGTTCACACCTCCTACAACATGTGCAACAAATAATAAATATGATTGTTACTAATAATAGCCCACCCTCTCCATCCCTGATGGTTTATGCATGCAAAAAATGCTGCAGAGTCAGTTCAATATTCCCCCTGGTTCATTTAACCAGCATTCATTTTCCTTGTGGATAAAGACGGTCCATCAGGGGAAGGGATGACGGTAACTCATTTGTCACACTTGTTAAATGTAGGAAAGGCTGGCTTTGGGGCACTTCCAATTTTGTGTCAGCTCTGCCTTTATCTGAGCAGCCCTGTGCCTGCATGCCAAGCAGGGTAGCGCTCTCCTGTGAAGCACAGGAGATGGGGATGGTGGCACTGTCCCTGCAAGATTTCAGAGATTCAGAGGGTCTCTGAGTGCAAAAGTACGTGCCCTTCCTACCAGGCTTGTGTTTGTGCTTCAAAGCTTGAGAGGTACAATGGGTGACTGGATGGTAAAGGATATTGAGAGTAAGATCTTGTGAACAGCCAGCATGAGCTCAGTGCAGGTACAGGGAAAAGGTGATGCAATCTCACCTCCACGCTCCTCCTAACCCCTGGAGGATTTTGGGGTGACTAGTCTGGGTCTTGCCTAAACTAGCACTGTCCCAGCAAGTTTTAATTTGCTCCAATTATCAGGTGCCAGCTCAGGGTGGTTGCAATGCAAGTCATTTTGGCTGCACCCTCTTTGGAGGCATTGCCATCAAGACAGGCCACCTCCTTCCTCTGCCAGGGACAAGGACCGGATACAGCCCCTAGAGATGTTAGGATGGAAATGCTGATGGCTGTGACCCCTCAGATCTTGTTTCAGGGAAGGGAAAAAGAAGTAACCAAGAGAGGCTGGGAAGAGTCTTGACCTCTGGATGAGTGATCACAGAGCAGTTCATGGCCAAGATACTTCACAGGGCATCATGTACTGAGCTGCTGGAGGACACTTCAGTGCAAAACAGTCCCCTGATCTGGTCTGGCATGGAAATGCCCTCCAGTGAGTGGGGAGCAGGTAGGACTGCAGGTCCTTCTGCCCGTAGCTTCCCCCATAAATTAAGCCCAGACGAGGTTAAGATGTGGAGAGCTGGGCAGGAAGGATGATTTTAGAGAAGCATCCTCATGGTCTGTCCCCACCGCTTGCTGTGGCACAGCCCTCACTGAGCACAGCCCAGACATAGCACATTGATTTAACCACACACTCAGCAGAGCAATGAAGTGTCCCATGACGGCCTGTCTGCATTACCCATCTCTTGCTGCATCTTTGCTTTTGTGGTGGCCACAAATGTGGGCACTATGGCCTCCTCCCAGCTCCATGGCTGATCTAACAGCAACTGGTGTCCATTGGCATGAGATCGTCTTACAGCTGGAAAAAGATGAGGCAGCTGTGGCAGATGAGATGAAATGAAGGGTCAGGGGGGCTGAAAAGCTGTAATTTGGTCCTGGTCTTGCCATTTGCTTGTGGTGTTTTCAAGTCAGGGCATTCTGATTTGCAGCACCGCAGGCAGCTACCAGAAAGGGCTCCGAGCTCCTGCCTTGTTTAGCAGCAAATGTGTGGTGCCTCTGAACCCTGGCTCTCAACAAGGACCCTGGGAAGTGCTGCGGTAGCAGCAGGTTCAGACTGCGGTGGTTTATTTCTATCTCCAGTGCTGGTCCTAGCAGGGGAGGGGTACCTGCCTGCTCAGCTGCCTTTGACTCCTTGACATTGATCAACCATTGCAGAAGTCGCTGAGGTCTCTGCTCTTAAATCTGGATCTGCACTGCCCTTCATGGCTGCATGCTGCCCTGACCTGCAGCAGCATCCCTCACTCCTGCTTTAAATCGCTTCCAAGGAGGCGCTGGTGATACTGGCATTTTCTCTTGTCAGCCGGTAGGGACCTGGAGCCCAGCCCTCCTAAGGAAGGAATTAACCCAGCAGCATCAGTTAGCAGAGGTATCTTTTATTGACCGTTTACAGAATACTGTAATACAGAATCTGTTTAGGGGGCTTGGGCGAGTTCTTCAGAAGGTGCCTTCCTTCTCAGCATTGCCAGGAGATCCTGAGGAGAAACCTGCCCTGTAACACTTTGGGGCTCCCTAGCATGAACTTCCTAACACCCTCAGCTCTCCAGGGGTTGGGAGTTGTTTGAACCATTGGACAAAATTCAAGAGAGGAAAAGAAAGCCCCATACATCAGGAGGTGGTGGGGTGGTCTGAACGCACCTGATTGATATGTTGTGAGCCAGCCCTGCTGTGGTCCCATCCATCACCGCACATGCCTCCTGCTTTACAAGACCCTACTGCTTCCCAGAGCTCAGCTCTCTGCTGCTAGGCATGCATGGCTCTGGGCTTTGCACACTCTTGTCACATGACTTGTTGGCCATAAAATAAATATTTTTTGGTCTATTTTTCTCACTGTTCATATGTTGGAGACCCTTTCCTACAGCAGTTCACATACTGTTTTGGGGGGGAGGAAGGGTATGCTCAGCTGGGCTGATAAACTCTTTTCATTTTTATTTATGTATTTATTTGGCTTTTCTTTCTTTTCTTTTCTTTTTTTTTTGCAATCAAGGTGGAGTATTGTTTTTATTTTTTTGCGTCCTTGCTACAAGAAACAACTGCAGACACTTCTGGCATAGAGGCATTTTGGCGACAACCACTGCTGTTGGCCTCACTCTAGTAATCAGTGAGGGGGTATCGCAGGAAGATGAAGATAAGGATGATACAGAAAGTGGCAAGGGCTGAGCTGGTGATGTTAAAAAGACGGGCTGTCTTGGCATCTTCAACTGCTCCATTTAAGTCATTGAGGAGTTTCTTATCCCGGACCTGAGACACACACAAAATAATTAAATAAAAGAATTGGGAGATGTATAAAAGACAAAGCGTTTCAAGCAACACCCACAAAATCCAATGCACTTGTAGGGTACCTGTATAGCAGATAAGGGCTGGGCTGTGCCTCTTTTCATTTGGAAGTGCTCAAAATGTTCAAAGTGTTCAAGGATAAGCAGTTTGAATGTGTTTAAAAACCATGTAGATCATGTAGATGAGGCTCTTAGTGACATGGTTTAGTGGTGGACTTAGCAGTTCTGGAGTAAAGGTTGGACTTGATAATCTTAAAGGTCTTTTCCAACTTAGTTAATTCTATGATTTTAATGCTTGGGGTGCCATAACACAGTGTGGTTTGCATGCCAGCCCTGCTATGGGTTGAGCTTGTGAAGCCAAGCACCATAACACCTCTGGGCTGGAAATCCCTGGAAGCAGAGAAGACCTGGAAGAGTGACCCATTGCTGTTACCAACTAGGCAAACCAGGTCCCTGTGGCCTCTGGAGTGGGGCAATATCATTCTGAGCCTCAGGATGCATAAAGGAACTGAGATGCCATCATGCACCTCATGCACACGGGCACTCAAGTATTCTTCCCACCATGTTGTAGATCCCTGGCCCTGCAGCCCCAGATTTCATCTCACCCAGGCCACAAGTGACAGGGCTGGCTGCAGTTTTGGTGTACATCCCCATGGCTCTGTCTGCACTGAGGGGCTGAGCGGGTGAGCCCTGGCGCAGCATCCTACTGCAGCTCCAGGGCTGCACACGAGCCTCCAGCATATTAAGCAGTTGTGGGTTAATGAATTCCTTTTGCAGGCCTGATGCAGCTCGTGCAGCGCCTCTGCCACTGGCAGTTTTCAATCCTGACAGTGCAGTCCGCTCTCCTCATTACCCTGCAGGCTGGGACTTTCATGGGCTTGCTTTGGGGCAGCTTTGCAGTGGGTAAGGGTTGTGCATGCCTGTGTCACTGGCCTGTCCCCACCTCCTCCGGGCAGCGGTGGCACCAGCAGGCAGTGGACAGCACAGCTGGGCAGCGATGCCACTAGAAGGCAGCAATGGCATCACCAGCAGCGGATGGCACTGCAACCCAGCGGATGACAGAGCTGGGCAGTGCGTGGCACTGCAAGGCAGTGATGGCATTACAAGGCAGCAGATGGCACAGCTAGGCAGGGATGGCACTAGGAGGCAGTGTGTAGCACAGCTGGCCAGTGAATACCACTAGCAGGTATTAGCACAGTGGGGCAGTGAATACCACTAGCAGGCAGTGATAGCATCATTAGGCAGCAGATGGCACAGCCAGACAACTGATGGCACTGCCCACCAGCAGCAGTTCATCTGCTTTTTGCTCAGGCTCCATCTCTTCCTAGCAGATATGCAACCTTGTCCCCAAATTGCCCCTTCAGCCAGCACTCAGGCAGCTGGAGCCACAAGGATTTTGGACAAACGGACCGGGAGATTCTACCCCACTTCCCTTTCCCCTGTACGAGCGAGGTATCCAGGGGCCGCATGGCGTGGCAGTTCCTGCTACCCTGCCTGCTTTGTGGCCAGAGGGGGAAACTTGCGGGCCCCGTCCCTTGCCGGCGGCTGCCCAAGGGCGCCCCCACCAGGAGCGGCCGGCCGAACACTAGATGTCGGTGGCAGGCTGCGAGAACCAGCCCCGAAGTCCTACCTAGAAATATTAAAAGGCTGTTATGGACCAGAAAGCTTTCCAAAAAGACTCTGTGATGGATTCAGACCACGTCTTAGTGACTTTTTCTCTCTCCCTCCTGCAGTGTTTACCAACAGGGTAAGTCCTGAAAGCCTTCTGCTTGCTAGATATTGGGAAGTGTTGCTGAACCCCTTCATTTCCACTGAAGCATGCTGGTTCATGGGACCTCCAAAACCAGATCTCAGACCCTCAAGCAATGTCCTCTTCCTCTCATACCAGTGAGGACCTCTGCACAAGCACTCTCTGCTCTTCACTAATCCTGGACCATGGATAGGGAGGCTGCATCTGGCATGAGGCCCACAGGAGCTGTCACTGGCAGGCACATAGGCAAGAATGAGAGCTCTGTTCTCCTCCTTGTATTAAATCCTGCATTGCCACGTCCTTGGTCTCTGTTACATCCCACTCCTGGGAGCCTGCAGCTGGAGCCAGGGCCATCCATGTAGCTCCATGGCAGGCTTGGCTGTTGCTCTCAGCAGTGGGCATGACCCCTGGGAAGGCAGCAAGCTGGCATCCTGGGAGCCTGCACACCTTTCTGTGTCAGCTGTGTGCCCAGGGTGACTCACCTTTGAAATTAGCTGTAGGTTTAGCATCCTCCCAAGCCCCCCTGCGCACAGCAGTGCCAGGCAGCTGGCACATCCTCACCCACTGGTGAGAAGCACAGGGGTCCCTGCAGCCAGAGACCTAGGGGCACTGGATTTGGGACAGAAATCCTGGCCGCTGCTCCCAGAAGGCTCTTTAAAGCTCTCTCTCATGTGCTTTACTCTTCTCAGTTGCTGCCAGAGGCAAACTGCGCACAGCAAATGCCTTTTGCCCCTTCCCTCCACTGTAATCCAGCCTGGGAGTGGTCGCTTTCTGCCGCAGGCAAGCCAGCGTTTGCCATCGGTGTTTGCCAGGGAAACACAGGTTTCTCCAGCAGACTGGCATAGCCAGAACACCAAGCTCTGCAACTATTCCTGCAGCAAGCTGCTTGCTTTGCCTTTGTGGGACCAATTCCTCTTGGCCCCAGGAGGTCTCTCCCACTGCTCACCTCCTGCTCCTCCTGTCCCCAGGGCACCCTGCAGCCCTGATTTCCATGCCCTACCCCCCAGTGCTCCCAGCAGCCTCTTCCACCTGACAGTGCCTCGCACTTGTGGCTGACGCAGTAGCTCTTTCCCACGGCATGCTTCAGCAGTGCCTGCCCTTGATTTTCGCATGGCTCTACCTTTGACCCCACTCCAGTCCTGCTGTTGATAAGCATTTCTAGTGAGGGGCACCTGAGGCTGCCCCCTCCCCAGTGTCACCATTTCCTCCCAGTTCCTTTTTTTTTTGTACTTCCCATCTCTTCTCTTTACTGCCCAAATAATGGTACGACAGCCGCCTTCCACTCCTGCCAAAAGGCACCCAGCTGCCTCCTCTCCCTGCCCCACCAGCTGGTTCTACCCACTCCTGCCAAACCCTGCATCACATAGAACTCTGCGTCCTCCATCTCCAGCGGCCCCCTGTCCTTTCCCTTCCCTAGCTCCACCCCAGCTCACCTCTATCTGCTCTGGCCTTGGCCACCAACTCCTTGGTCCATTTCCTCTGCTCCCTTGCTATTTCCCCATACACTCTATGGTTTCAGAAGTCACCGTCATGCAAATCATCCCTTATTGTCCGTTATCATTTATATTGCAATGGAGCCTCTAAGTGCCAGGGTCTCTGCAGCACACAAGTGCAATGTAAAGGTGTTTCTCCTTCTAAACCACTTGCAGCCCTGGCCTCCCACATCTCTCCAGTTCAGCCTCCTAACCTCTCACCTGTCCTTGCACCCCCAGATGCTTCCAGATGTTTCCCTTTAATGTCCCACTGCGGCATCTGAGCCAGATTCTCGTGGAGGAGCTCTTCTGGAGAGCAGGTAAGTCTTTAATCTCTTTTCCTGCTTTGTCTTAAAGGAGATGCCACTGTTTCTCTCATAGCACAGCCTCAACTTTTCCTATTTTCATGCTTCTGTGGCCACCATTACCATAATGTGCTGGCAGCTGGTGCACAAGCCCTGGAAGCTGCTTCCTACCGCAGGTCCCCAAGGTCACCCCCCTATCCCAGGCCCAGGTGTGGTGTTTCCTTAGTCACAGATTCTTTTCTCATCATCACCTTGGCCCTTCTCACCTTGCCTACAATTAGATGGCAGCTTTTTGCCCTGCTTTGCACAGAGATACCTGGTGTAAAGATAATTACATCTGCTGACTGTGGGGTCTCCCAAACACACCAAAGCATGTGTGGTGGACCCCTTGGAGATCCACCTTAGGCAGTGCAGAGCTCACCTCTCTGGCATCCAGCTTGGCAACTTCTACAGTTCCTTTCCTCTTCCATGCTTAGCCTTCCATGAAACACATCCCACTCTTGTGCTTTAAC